GAATTTATATAAGATCTGAAACATTAAGATGTGAGATGTACAGTCATGTACCTTGTAGGAGTTAATAAGTTAAACTTCCTCCTACTCGTTTTCACACATTCTTTTGAGTTTCTTTTAATTTTGTGTGATTTGTTTTCTTTCTGTTTTTTTTTTTTTTGTGACTTTATGGTATGTCTGATATAACCCAGTGATAAAAAAGTCGTGCCATGATTTCACTGTCACCTCTCAGGGAAACTGTGTGGTGATGATTCATGGGAGCCAGCAGAAGAAAACCGGAATGTGGGCTTCTAGAGCCTGCGAGATGGAGAACAACGGCTTCATCTGTCAGAAGCCACAAGGTGTGACATTCAGCAACAACCACAGCAATGGTATTTACAAGCACAGGCCACTTTGCAAACAGAATTCTAAGTAAATCATCATATATGACTTTCAGACCAGAGTCTCCTCCCGGCTCCGGCCCTCATTCCTGACTCCCTGTCGAAGCCGGTGGAGCTGGGCGGAGTCACGTACCGGGTGGTGGTGAAGCGCCTGGACTGGACCGGCGCTCTGCACCTCTGTGAATCTTTGAACGGGACCCTGGCCACGGTGACAAATCCTTTCCAGCAAGCTTACCTCACACTGCTTATCAACAGCCTGCACCGGCCAGCCTGGATCGGCCTCTACAACTATGGAGTGAGTTTAATAACCTACGGAAATCTCATTATATTTCACCACATACAGTGACGAACAGAAGTGAGCCCACTGCTGTGCGATATTACAAAGTCAGATGAAAGTTGAACAGTGGAGTATTTCCTCCTATGTAAACTTAAAAGGCAACAACATAGAGTTAAGATATAAAAAATACAGACCCCAAAGTAGAAACTCAATGCAACAAAAGTCAGCATACATCACTGATGTTGTGATCTTTGATTTTTTTGATGCTTTGAGATGTTCTGTCATTCTTCAGACACTATTTTTTTCAGGAGGAGTTGTGTTGCTCTACCTTTTTGTTTAAAATACCCCAAAGGTGTTCAGTTTGGATTATCCACAGACATTCATGGTGCATCTACAAATACCATCTCACCAACACCTATCGCACTCATGCAGCCCCATATCATGATACTACTACCTCCGTGCTTCACTGTCAGGACAATGCATTCACTGTGGTAGTCTTGACTTCGTCTGAGCCAAAAAAAAAATTATAAAAGATGTGCTGCAAATATTCATCAGGGTTCTCTTCATTCTCATCTTCTTTCACAAAGTTTTATCTTGCAGGTTAATGCCAAATAGCAAGGGTTTCTTTGAGCTGCATCCTGACATGTTGACATTGTCTGAGCTTCACATAAACTCTGATTTCCATTGATAAACCCTGTACCAAGTCTGAAGCAGCTGCTTTCACAATCTTTTCACAGCTGAATTGTGAAAGTAGTTCACTGTCCGTGGAGCCATTTTAGGAGGACGACCACTGCAGCTCTGATTAGTGGTGCTGTGACTCCTTCTATACCTCCTGATTGCTGCTGACACTGTGATATAACCGAGTTTTACTTGATCTCCCTGTGTTCTTTTTCATCTTTGTGAAGCATCACAGTAAGATTTTCAAACTGACAGGTTTTCTAACTTATCAGTGATCACAGGTGGATTCACTTTTGTTGCATTGAGTTTCTACTTTACAGTCTGAATTTTCAATATAGGTTTTATTTTCAATTGGTCACGAGGGAAAATTGTCAACGGTTCAACTTAGAAATAATGTAGTAATGGAGAAGTGATGCAATGTTGAATCATTTGACATTTAAGTAATATTGCACAGGGGTGGAGTCTCTTCTGTTGTATACTGCTATTACAAAAGTTTTTCAATGTGTGATTAACGGCGGTAAATTGCAACCCTTTTTTTAAAAAATGTTTAAACCAGGGACGGAGCTTCACATGGCTGGGTAATGAAGACGTTTCATATTCGAACTGGAAAGATGGGGAGTCCAATCAGATGGCTGGATGCGGTCACATGACCACCACAGGGCACTGGACTAGGACCCCCTGTGATGCTAAACTGGAGGCCGCCATCTGTCAAATTAGTGGTATTTATTCGACACAACGACCAAATTTAACACAGTGTTCACAACAAGTCAGGAGGAGATCATGAATTATCTCACGTAACACTTCAGCAATGAATCACGTTTATGTGCTCATCCCAGCTTTTTTTTCTTGCTCCCAGAAGAGCCTGTGGTTCACCAGTGGATCTATCCTGGCCTGTGCCCCCAGTCTCTGGGAGAGTGGGCGTGGGTGCCTTTCAGAAACCACTGCTACGCCTTCAACCTGCAAATGCTTCAGCTGCAGCAGGATGCACGCACATCCTGCAAGAAAAGTACGCAAACTGTTGTGGAAAAACTGACTCTTATTACCTTAAAAATTACACAAACACTCGGCTTGGTTAATTTTAAATACTGCAAAAAGGAGGAAGACCGAATCTGTTCAACATCTCTCTTAGAAAGCTTATTTATAGCAAGACAGTAAACACAAAACTCTTTTTTTTATTGGCTTATTTTCACTGGTTTGACAAGTGCAACCTGTAGAATTCCTCTTGATCTTATCAGCTAAATCAAAACTCCAGAGGCAAGACTTTAGGTTTAGTGAGGTAACTGCAGGTTTAGCTCGATGGTGGTTCATTTATTACTTCTGCTGAAGACCAAACCTGCGCCTGACCAGATTACACTAAAGGTAACAGATGAACTCATATCATAATATAAATGGCCGTCAATTCTCTTTTAAAATGGCAGCACCATTCCTGGAGGATCCTGCGGAGCTGGATGTGCAGATTATGAGAGGGTGTCTGAGGAGAGCACGAGGTTTCAGAGCTGCAATTTCAAAGCCACCTCATTGTTATACGGGCTTTTATATATCATGACGAAGCACAAAAGCCTTTTGACTTTATAAGATGTGCAGTACTTATCGGCATGGATGATGCTTTTATGTTTGCTCTTTACCTGCTCCCAGAACTATGTGACACCGCCAAGCAGGTGAAAGAATAAAACAGGTCATATACACTATGAAAATATCATATTCAGTGTGACATTACTAAATGAATCCTCCACATTAACATGAAAATAGTTTTATTTTTGTTACTTGATTATTTTTTCTTTACATAATTTCTCATTTCTTAGTAATAGTTCATCATAATTTCATCATAGAGGGACCACATTTGTAATTTCGTTATCCTATCATCTACTGCATAATGACAACTTAAGTGAAAGTTCACACTGTCTACACTTTCTTGCAGCTTTCCTTCCTGGTTTTGGCTGCAGCAGCTGTGAGGATTTTAGCTTGTATTGTAGTTTTAAACTCCTCGTGTTGGTTCACGGTTATAGTTTCTTCTTCTTGTGAGCAGCTCTAGACATGTCCATGTTAGATTTAGAAACTCTGGGACGCCTTAACAAGTCGATAACCAGCTTCGGTTGTTAGGTTTAGTAAAGCCAGAAAACATAAAGAAAAAATATCCTGGCTATGTTTAACTTGCTCCAAGGTCTCTATTTCTGACCCTACGTATCTAACAACTGGATGGCCGGCATTAACCCGAGAACCGTTTTGTTTCTCCACAAATGGATAAACTGATCACGATTCGATGATTAATGTAAATAAACTACAACCTCACAGTTGAGTTTGTTCCTGCGGAGCGTTTCGGGCTCCTGCTGTCCTGCCCGCTCAGCTCATGACACTGAATTGAAAACTAATTAAATGCAACACTCCTGACCTTCTCCACAGCACACATAATTGACAAAACGCATCGATACGTCTAAATTTAGACGTGTTTCATCGAGCCTGTGGTGCCGCTGTTCAATCTCCCCACATGATCAATTCTGCTGTGTTCCATCTCTGTCTGTTTCACCGTTTGTTTTTTCTCTCTCTCTCTCTCTCTTCTAGTGGGAGCAGAACTTCTCTCCATCTTGGACGAAACAGAGAACGGATTTGTATGGGAGCACATCCAGAGCTATGCGGAACAGGCACATGGAGCTTGGCTGGGCATCAGCGTGAAAGGTCCAGCATCACTCTCTGCAGCAGCAGCAGCAGACTTGTTAACCTTCAGATGTTTTCACCTTATTAATTTTACACTATTTTTAGGCAAATTGCAAGCAGATAACTTCCCTAATTTAATAAGTTTTACCTGATTGATTGTGATTTCTTTTGTAGTATAGTCATTAAACAATTAATTAAGGAGAGGAAACCTGATTAAGACTGTGTCTCTCGTGTCAAATAAATGTGATAAAGCAAGGTGCCTTATCTCGAGAAAGTTAATTTATTTAAACTGTATCATTATCAGTCGGAGCAATTAGATAATATGAGGGAAATGAGTGAAAATATGCTTCGTAGGCTAATGTGGAGATTAAATCCAAGACTGGAAACTTCTACGACTGAACTAAAATGTCAAATTAGGATAAAACTGAACCCCACAGTCTGTCCTTAAGGGTGTTTCTAAAGCTCCTCTGAATGTGCTGCAGGTAGAGGTCTGGTGTGGAGCGAGGACACGGAGATGTCGTACACCAACTGGGAGGCTCACGACGTCGCCTTCTCCGTGCTGTCGATAAATTCCTGCTTCTGGATCCAGAGCAACAGCGGCCTGTGGAAGCCGGGATCCTGCAGGAATCGAACGCATGGAGTCATCTGCAAAAGGCCTCGCAGTAAGTCCGTTTAACCAAGTAAAGGCCGTTTCAGCACCAGGTTCAGCTCAGCGAGTGGTGTAAAGTAACCAGTTTTTGAGGCATTTCAGTGGTAAATGCTGCACTTTCTTCTCTGAATCTATCTGACAGCATTTTTAAGATGAAGATTTCCCACAGTGGTGAATGCAACACATTAAAAATACAACACAGAGCTAAAGATTAAACCTTCCAACCTTTATTGGAGTCTATGTCTGTGAGTTGCTCAACCAAATGTTTAGGTTTTTTTTAAATTATTTAATCTCTGTATATAAAATTCAATATAAAGTAGCTCCACCTGCAGAAGCTACAACAGTAACACCACTGGTAATATGAAATGAAATGAAAAATACTTTATTTATCCCAGAAGGGAAATTCAATATCCTAACAATAGAAAATGTAATAACATATCAAAGCTTTAACTACACTTTGTGTTCTTCATGCAGGAGTTTTACTTGTAACGGAGTATTTTCACGGTGCTGTGTGGCTACTTTAACTTTATTTAAGCATCTGAGTACTTCTTCAGCCACTTAGCTCACTAAGCTTGTCAACACCAAGTTAAAACATTGCAAAGTTTGCCGAAAACAATGATGATGCCTACCCATGCCTTAATTCAAAACCCCCAGGCAGTTTCTTTGTGTTCCTGTCGGCTCATTTTTCACTATAATATAAAGTCCTGCACCTCTTTGGAAACAGCACAACCATGGCTACGAATAGAAACAACTCAAACATGTCTTCTGTGTAGCATGACACAGTTATATTGCCATAAACTAGAAAAAAATAAATTGTGTACAACATTTATTTAAGTGCCCACAGGTGTTAGCAATACTGGGGAAAAAAATTGGGGCTCCACTGATGATAGATATTTTGCGACTTGAGTTTTTGTACAACCTGCATTCTGCACATCAACTGTAAAAAGACGTTTAATCACTCAAATAGAATCGTCCAACAACTTGCTCCTCTGCATGCTCTTTAACAGTCATGCTGCATTTATTTTATTGATCCAGTGTGTTTCGTTTTCCTCTCAGTCTTTCTTATTATCTGCTCTGTGGAAAAACAGCCTGCAGTTCAGCCACAAAGTCCCCGAATTTTTGTTGCATGACTGCTGATTGGTGTGGAGTCACTAATGGCGCCGAAGAGCAGAGAAACTGTAGCGTTTTGTCGAATCTAGTTAGAGCGAATAGTAGAGTTTGGGCTCTTTTTTTTTTTCCATACGACACGTCAAATGAAGTGATTGTGATGAAATGTCATGATTTTAAGCCTAGATTCAGTTTTTCTTTCCAACAAAATTGCAGGTCACACATATTTAGTTCAGGGACTGTTGGGAAGTTTCTGTTTTTACAGTTTCTGGCTCTAATGAATGGTAGTTTTTTTTTTTTAGTGATTTTTTTTAAAAAAGATAACATGACTTTCAAACTTGCCAGTGCGTTATGAGGCTCGGAGGATTAAACTTTTAAACTGATTGCGGTGATGGGAGGATAAAAAAACATCCCAGTGGCACCTTGAGGAATCACTCAAGTACAAAACTCGAGTGCAATCAAAATCACTTGTTAAACACTGGAGCAGCTGACTTACACTAACTGTCTCTTGTTCATTTTGCAGCTGCTGAAACTTCGGCTGTAACAAGTAAGTTTGCTTTATTTGAAGCTTAGCATAAATATTTGCACATTCCTGCACACTGGAAGTATTTATATTACTTTTTTATGACATACAATCACTTGTATTTGCTAAACTTGCTGTTAATTTGACTGGTAACACTTCCTGTCTACTGACTTTTTTAAATCTATCTGTTAGTTTTCAGGGTTATACACTAAAAAAAAACCAAGTTAGATCAATCAAATTGTTTCTGGTTTTCTGCCATAAAGTGAATTATTTCCTTTCCTCCATCTCTGCCTAGTGGACGGTGACCACCTGCCCACTCTGATCGTCATCATGGTGACGGGCCTGGTGCTGGTGGTGCTGATAGTCGGCGTGATCTACTTGTACCGCCGGCGAACCATCGGGTCCCGGGGCTCCTACGAAGGGGCCCGATACAGCCGCACCAACTCCAGCCAGGCCGAGCAGGCCGAGAAGAACATCCTGGTGTCCGACATGGAGCTGAACGAGCAGCCAGAGTAGCCCGAACCGACCCCCGGACCGACCCGACCCGACACAGGAGAGGCCAATTCCAGTGTGCCGACTCAGAATCCGATACACATTTGTGGCATGTATGTTTATTTTTGTCTCTTTTGAAACCAAAAAAAAAAAAAAAAAAAAATGATTTTTAAAGTGCTGAAGGGCTGTGTAGAGCGCAGCAGCAGATGTTTAGTTTTTAAATTGAATCCCCACTTTCTAAAAATCCTCTTTTGCCAAGATTTAACAGTTCTAGCGATTTCTCCCCAGACGAATCAGACGCTTCCATCTGCACAGCTTCTCCCCAGAAAACCATAATGGATCTACAGGGAATAAATTTTATCGCAGCTGGGAGGAAAAAAAAAAAAAAAACAGTTTTATGAAACAACTCCTTGCTGTCTTCCCTGGTGCCAAAGTACTTTTTTTTTTTATTTGCACACTGTATGTTTTTTCCTATTTTGATTGAAAGACTACAAACCTTCAGTATCCACAGTCTTCGAGACCAAATTGCCGCATCAGTATTAACCTGAACTTGTGTTTTTGTTGATTAATTGTACCCCCCCAACCCCCCCCTATTGAATTTGCCATTATCTGTGCAGCTGTAGAGAACTGTTACCCATGATGCTCGTGTGGTTTTGTGAGCCTTGCCTCCCTCCTCTCTTCGGTCGTGACACGTCGGCAGCTTCTGTCAGGCCAAAGCAGAGGAGGAAATGTGAATGTGTGGAAGGTGACAGGGACCGGTGACCTCAAACTGTCTGTCTGAGGGCAAACACTATAATTGTGCACATAAGTAGAACTTTGTATTGAAAGCTGGTCTTTAAATAGACTGCATTGTGTCTTTTTTTTTTGTGTGTGTGTGTGCAGCAGGACTGAAAGGTTCAGACTCGCTATACTTTTTTCGGCACTTTCTGCGATTATCTAATTCAGTCATCCACCTGCCTTTAGTCATTATCCTTAAGGCGCATTTGCTGCTCTGTGATTCCCAACTTCTGTTTGTTTTGGCTCTTTGTGCCGCCATCTGGAGCTGATTCAGCATTTTATAAGAATTTTCTTTTTCTTTCTGTGCGCGCAGAGAAAAAAAAGGGGTTTGCAATTTGATATTTGTCTGATTCATCATTTTAATGGATATTCTCTCTCTTTTTATATATATATATATATAATGCAGGCTTCATTATGTGAATTGATCTACATACCTGACTGGTAAAGACATTTGGAAGCGTTCCTATTTACGATGGGAACACAAAGGAAAACATCCCTCATATGAATGACACAGTTGTAAATATGAGAGCCAAAGAATGTTTTCTCTCTTTCTTTTTTTTTTTTTTTTAACGTTAACGTTCTTCCTTCAGCTTTTTTTTTTCCTGCCTCTGTCTTCCTGCTCAGAGAGGAATGCTTTGGAGCCATTTCAGGCTTTTGGTGTTTCACTGAGCTGCTGTAAAATAAAAAAAAAAAAGAAGAAGAAAAAGAAAAAAAAAAACTGTGCTTTTTTCTTTTTTTTTTTGCTAAGATTGTAGGGGGGAAGGGAGCAAGTCGGCGAGTGTGTTGGAGTGTGTGTGCAGTCTCCAGCTGTGGAATGTTGAGTCGGCAAGAAGAGCTCAGTGGCACGTCTGGAACCAATCAGAGAAGGAGGGCTTTAGGGACATGAAGGGTCAGGAAGAGGGGGAAAGAAAGAGCTGAAGCTAAAGACGAAAAGTGGGGAGGAAAGAAAGAAAAAAAAAGGAGGAGAGTGAGGAGGAGGAGGAGGAGTCGGGGATGTAGGTAGAGGAGGAGTGGATTGGGCCAGGCGTACCCTGTCCTCTGCTGGTGGATTACTGTACAGGTTTGTGTTTATATATATATATGTGTGTATAAATGCAGTGGATGTGAACTGATGGAGGCGATGTGGTGTGAAGGTCCCGCTGTGTTCCCCTAGTGTCTGTGAAGATACCTGATGCACCTGTTCAAAAAAAAAAATTTTTTGGAAAGTTTTTGTGTCATTTTTATATGAAATAAATAAAGTCTATGTTCTCAGAGCTGTGGAGTTTTATTCATCGCAAACATACATGAAAAAAAAAAGACCCAATTAGCTATCAATGACATGAAATGCAGACTGCAGTGTTGATGTTTATCCACAAGAGGGAACACCTCACCTAGCACATGAGGCATCTACTGCTGGTGTTCCCATCTTGATTGACTTGTTCTTTTGTCTCGTAGGTTGTTGTGTGTTTTCTGCGGAGGTGCAACCAACCTACAGCTAACCGCAATTCTAATTCACAAAGCGTCTCCCTCTTCCTTATTGATTGCAGCTTCTTTATGATTGCAGCTCGTTAAAACAGAGTCCCTCCGTGGTAATCATCTGTGATTTTGCAGTAGCTACATTAAATTTATTTAACAGCGCTGTCATCCAGTGGAATTACTGCAAATCAGGCTTAATCTGTTTAAGGTGGCGTCGTTAAAATCAAGACCTCTTTTATAGGGGGAGACCCAGGAAGTAAGAACAACATTTACAGCCACAGAAACAGTGCGCAAGAAAGCATAACGGCAGTTAAAGATATATATAAAAGCAGATAAGCAACAAATACGTGCCATGCTTATTAATTGTCCAGATTAACATACAGTACACAAGAGAAGAGAGAACGTCTGTGTGTAATATCACTTAAATGTCAAATGATTCAAGACTGAATCACCTCTCAGTAACTTTTAAGTTGAACAGTTGTATTTCCTCTAATAAAAAATCTTTATGAAGATTGTACTGGAAATTAAGGAAACTCAGTCTTACTGCATGAAGATGGTTCAAAAATGAGCAGCAGAACATTCTTAGTTTGGGCTCTTTGGGCTGCATGTCTGCATCATGGCTCCACATGGAAGACAACAAGAAAACAAGTGCCAGAGGAATTTTAAAAATCTGGTTGTGAGACTTTACAGAGAAAGATACGTACAGATAAACTAAAAATACGTAAAACCGCAGTTACAGCAGGAACAAGCCACAGTACCACTAATCAGAGCTGCAGTCGTCGTCCTCCGTTAATAACATCACAGACAGCGCGTGACTTTCACAATCAAGCTGTGAAAAATAAACAAACAGCTGCTTCAGACTTTGCCCTGGGGATTATTGATGAAAATTGGATTTTCAGCGACGGCCCAGACAGTGTGAAGGACAGTTCATAATGTCAACCTCTGTGGACGACGTCCAAGAAAAAACCTTGCTTGTTGTTCAAACCCTAATTGCTTGATAAAAATTTGCTTAATAACATGAAAAAAAAAAGCCTAATGGATGTTGGGAGCACATTCTTTGGTCAGGTGAGACCAAGATAAATTTGGAGTTCAGCTGTTTGGGGGTGAACCTGTTCAGCACGACCACAGTGAATGCATAGTCCTGACAATGTGGGAGTGTGATGGTATGAAGCTGCATGAGCACAAGAAGTGTTTGGATGGTGGCATTTACAGAAGAATGTCTGTGAATAAACCAAAATACTGGCTGACAAGTTGACTCTCAGTCTGCAGAAGAGGAATATTCCAGCATGAGAACCATCCAAGGCACAAAATCAGACAAGAGTTAGAAGTGAAAAATAAACCTGGTCATGAATCCAGTAGAACACCAACATAACAACTTCAGCAGAAGAACATCTCCAATTTGTTGACGAGGATTGCATCTGTCATCAAAAGTAATGGTGGACGCATGAAGAAGTGTAAATAAAATCTCTCAGTAACATTTACTGACTTTTGTTGCATTGAGCTCCTCCTGTGGTGCTTGTATTTTTAATATATTAAATCTAAACAGAGCAAATAACTCTGCCGTTCAACTTAGAAGTGATGCAATTACTGTAAGGTGATGCAATTTTGATCCGCAACACCATGAAATACAATATCATGCAAGTCAATACAACGGTCAGGCGGTGTGGTTGGGAATCCTACAATATTCATTTAAGAAAATCAATTGTATATGCTGTGGGCATGTTCTATAATTTTATTATCTTTGGATTATACAGTGCAGGAGCTTCTGTTACTTGCATCCACCCCCCATTTATCCTTCATTTAGTGTCTTATGAGAGAGTTTCAGGCGTTGTTCTTGGGCTGTGCAGCTTATTTTGTCATCTAGAATATGCTGGAAGTTACTCTACCAACACTTCACCTGTGCTTGGAACCTTAACGTCTACCGCTGCCAGTGTTTATCCAGTTACAGCTCCTCCATCCTCCAGCTGGACCACGTTCGCAGGCACGTAGACCAACAGGGAGGCAAGTGGCTGTTTTGGGATTGCGATGGGAGCGTTTGGCCTCTCGCTGCCAGAGACCCCGAACCTCTGCAAGCGCCACATCTGAGCCAGTAAATTGCTTGTTATTCAAATCAAACCGGCTCCGTGTAATCCATCTCACTTAGGATGGGTGTCACAGCTCATCCGACTGCACGCCGCAGGCTCTCGCTTTAAAGCATCCAGGGGTTATGTACTCCAAGAGTTTTGTTTATAAGTTCCACAGCTCTGACACCTGTCGTTTTCAATGCATCATCGGCGCGCGGGGGCCCTCAAGGAACTTTTTGCTTACTCTTTAAACATTACATTTTTCTTTTTTTTTTGGCGGATTTCAGACTCGGCTCGAGCTTCGATGAAACCTCAGCTGAATGACAAAAGCTGCAGTTTGTAGTCTAAATGCTTCGTCATGTCGTGTTTATCTTCGGCTCCATTGCACCGTAATGTTTTTGTGGTTCCTGCTAGTTAGCATAAAGCGAGCTGCCAGGAAGCTGAATATTTCAGGTCAACTCCAAAGTTCCACGACATCTGAGAAACATGTTTTATTTACAGGTTTCGCTCACGACATCTGAAGGAAATGGAACTTTGTAGTTTCTCTGCATGTACTGTGTTCTTTGCAGCCAAGCTTTTACTTTATTTACGTCGCACGGTAAAACGTCATGAGGGGATTTAGTCAAAACAAGTCATCTTTTCTAGTTTAAAAATTGCAACATAGGAGCAAAAGAAGGATTTTTAAAAGTGGTGCATATAGTTTGTGTGCTTTCCATATGTTTTTGCAGGCTATTCTTCTATTTGAATGACATTACACTGGAAAATATGATTGAATTTAGTCTAATTAACTATTTTTTAAATAGTTTATCTGAAAAACTAGACACATTTTAATTGAACTTTTGTCTTGCATGAGTTGACAGAAATGCAAAATTATTATATACAGTTTGCATGTAATACACTTCTTGCACCACACATTTCAAC